GCAAGAAGACAATAACAGAGTCATTTTTCCAGCTAAAGTCAGTTCTGTTAATATTAGTTAATGCACTTTGACCTGATGTGAACAAACAATGAACAGTTGTATTTTTATTAACTAACATTAAGAAAGATTAATAAAGGCTGTAAAGAATATATTGCTCGTTGTTAGTTCATGCATTAACTAATATTAATGAATGGGACCTTATTGAAAAGTGCTGCCATTTAATTTAATTAAAGAAAATTTAGTTTATCATTGTTTATTTAGGTTATTTGCTTCTGTTTTATTAACAGTGTTAAATGCAAATCTTTTCTCAAATTTAATGCAGTTACTCTGATTAAAATTTTGTCAGTGTTTTTGTGCCAATGTTGTTGAAAATTACATATATGCTATCTTTTTGTGACTAAGTGCTTTATCAAACAAGTAGCCTGACTGTAGGTTAAATTGAGTATTTTTTTTATTTAGTGGTAAGTTGCATCCTGAGCACGTGTTCTTGTGTGAATTGAGTTAATTGATGTGTGTGTCTGCAGTTTGCCGTCGGCTGGGTTTATGGAGAGCAGATGTGTGAATCATCTAAAGTTCATCCGCTGCTCAAGCCCTACAAATGTCTGTCTGAGAAGGTACCTTTCAGTGATTACACTCAGAATGATGAGTAAACCACAGCGTGCCAGTAGGTTTCCCAGCATGCCTCTGTGTTTCAGGATAAGGAGGTGTACCGCTGGCCAATCAGAGATAGTCTGAAGACGATGCTGTCGTGGGGCTGGAGCATCGAGCGGATGAGAGAGAGCGACGCGTCCACGTTACACAACCGCACGCGCCGGATCTCTCTGTCTAGTCAGGTCAGAAACAGCCGTATTTACAGTATGAGTGAGTGATCATCTGCATAAAAGAAAGAGAGTCATGTGAGGTGCAGTGTGCGTGACCTTTGACCTCTCGTGTCTCCTGCAGCGCTCCATAGAGGGCGCTCACGGTTTCAGCCCGCGGCCCGTCGACATGAGCAACGTGACGCTGTCCAGAGACCTGCATGTGAGTGAAGCGCTTCACACATCCACTCTAACACTTCCGGTTTTACTGTTTGAAACACGTTGCTGTGTTTGTGTGCTTCAGACGATGGCGGAGCTGCTGGCCGAGAACTATCACAACATTTGGGCTCAGAAGAAAAAACTGGAGCTGGAATCCAAAGGTCTGTTTACAAACATGTTACATACTGTAAAAACAGTACAGTAGTGTGATAGTAGGTCCTTCTGATCATATAAACCTGAGCGCAGCCATTAGATGGCGCTACAGGGCTGCATATTACCTCAGTGTGTGTCTAGTGCTGCTTTCTAACGTGTGTGTGTGTGTGTGTGTGTGTGTGTGTGTGTGTG